ATTTGACACAATTCAAACAAACTGAGGACAAATGAAAGCAATTAAACCTTTTTTCCATTGTGTCTAGTTTCGTTTAAATTTTTTTTAAAATTAATTTACCCAAAAAATAATATTATATTTCAACTTTATCATGTATGTTCAATGAAATTAAGAAAGATCATCTACTAATTAAAGTATTATAAATTTAACATTAAACATAATTAATTATATAATATGTAATCGCAGTTTAAATGTTCATCTCTTCCATCTAGTTACCTTATGTTCACATATAATATATACAAAATACAATACAACAAAGTTAACTATTTATAACTCAATTAACGCATTAATTCAACTACCAAGTATATAACATAGAATTATTCAATCACACTGAGACAATATTCTAGATTCAATTCCAAAATGATATTGAACTAAATACGTAGAAAGTTCGGCACCTGTCATGATATATCATAATGTGATGTAATTATTAAAAAAATATGTAATAAGGATGCTACATATTCTAAATGCACAATTGTACTATAAATTTATATTTCATGTTTTTTAAGATGCAAATTTGTATTTTTAGATAGTAAAGTCAAATACTAATCCGAAATATCATTTAACACCTAAAAAAAATTAATATCTTTGAATTAAAGAAATTATACTCATCCATTCTTTATATTTGATCACCAAAATATACCAAAGCTTGGAATAAAAATGAATTCCAAATTTGTTTATAGATTTAGGATCTACCACGTGAGTAGTTGATTTCTTTATACATGAACAATTTTCTGCCTTGATACAAGCCATTGTTTTTAGGCATGCAATGGAACATGGACTCCTAAAACAATACAATAATTTTTAAGGGAGTTAGATAGACACTCTTAACATTTTCTGATGGCTCGTCCCTAATAGTTTTGAGAACCTTATTATTATTAACTTTACTATGACTTTCACTCCCATCAGTATATTGTATTGTGATTATATTAATTTTCTTATAGAAATATAATAATAACATTGTAAAATTACTAGTAATATATAATATGTTTAATGACTAATTAACGTTGGATATTAAAGAAAATTTGTTTATAAATTGAATCATTAAGTTAATTTTTGTTAGGAAATTGTACTTATAATCTAATGAAAATTAATATAATTTATTGTCTAGAAAAAATAAGTAATAAGGATGTTACATATTCTAAATGCACAACCGTACTATAAATTTATATTCATTTTTATTTAAGATACAAATTTGTATTTTAGACGGTGAGGTGAAATATAAAATACATATTTTTATGTTGTATTTTAAAGTGTATAATTCAAAATATAAATTTGTGCTTAGAATTGTATATTCCAAAATAAAATAATATTGATATATATTTTTTAATTATATAATCTAAAATGTCTCTGAATTATACAATTCAAAATCGAAAATCATAAATTATAAGGTAAATTTAGAATTTCTAAATTTATGAGGAGGATACATGTTGAAATTGTGAGGGTACAAAAAGAAAAGCCCTTATTCATCTGTGTAATTATTAGTTTCTTCCACTTCCATAAACTTCTTCCTGCATTTCGATATAAAAAAATTTCTCATTTTTCTATTTTTAGATTACAGAAAGTTATTTGTTGACTTCTAAAGTTTAGAAGTCAAATGACTTTTAAATTATATAATTTAAAAGTTATTAAAAAATGACTTTTAGATAATATAATTCGAAATTCTCTTTTAATTTTCGACAAATATGAAAATCCTTTTATATGTAAATACAGGAAGAGACATCTAGAGATGTAAGAAGAAAATGCCTTTCTTCTTTCGTAAAATAAGGAAAAAAAAACTCATACAACTATACTTAGATAATAAAAAAGGTAACGTCATATATAAATAACAAAGTTGGCAAAATTCAAAAAATAAGGTTTTATGAAACATATGTTTGAAAAACAAGAATATAAAAAACCACAATTAATTTAAGGACGTCAATATTAGTTCTATCAACAATTAGTATTTTTAACAAAAAATAAAAAATAAAACAATATATATTTTAAATCATTAAGATAAACTAGTGTGATACAACATACATACAAGTGCTATCACATCTGCATTTCTGTCAATATAAAAAAAAAATTGATGTACACAAATTTTTTTCTATTTTACTTTTGATATTTTAAAATCATAACACAAAATTGATGTAAATGGTAATGATGAGAGAATAATCATCTTTAGAAAATAATGGTATACATCAATTTATTTATCTTCTACTGCTGCAACTAGACATATTATACGTTGTTACAAGTTAAATTAACAAACCATAAAACACTTTAATATATTTTAATATAAATTATATATTGTTACAGATATATGCATTTCATAAAAAAATAATATATATTGATTTAATGTATCTAAAATTAAAATTGATATAAATAATATATTTTAACTTATTAAAATAAAATAGTATAACGAAAATGCAAAAACACATATGCCACTATACTTATGTTTTCCCCATCACAGAGATAAAGGGCACTACTTTGTTAGAAACAATATATACATAATTTAATATTTTCTTGAACTAATGTATTAAACAATCCAAATAAAATATATTATTAAGAAATATATAACTCTTACAAAAATTATATATTTTATATTTATAAAATATTATTTAAGTGAAGTGCTCATCCTTGTCCGTCCTATTTCATCCAGAACTCCAAAAGTATATTGCTAGAACAATTTGAGCCATCATTCACATTTCAATCCGGCAAACCAATCATTTCAGCAATTTGGTTTTGCATGTTTAATTTGGATATTTTAAAATCTAAAATATATTAATTATGAACAAATATACTAAAAAAAACAATAGTGAAGTTGTTTATAGAGAAAGAAGGTGCAGATAGAATTTTTGTGATGAGAGTTTGAAATATATTACATTTACTATGATTACAATAAGATAGATTACAGTGAATGAAAAATGAAAGTTTGTATATTTATAAGTGGGTAGAGGAATCTTAGCATATTGGTAGAGGAGAACCATTCCAGTTCTTTAGACAATCGAGCATAGGATCAATAAACTTTCCTTCACATAATGCAGTAAAAACCTTGTCACATTCCTCACCAGGTGACTTCACCTTCTCCCCTGTTAGCAAACTTGTACCCAAGCTTTCTCTCACAAACTTATATAATGGGTAAGATCTGCATTCTTTAATTCTGTTAGGAATACTTGAATTTCCATTCTCAGCTTCAATCCTTGCATTTTCTACCTCCTTCGGCAAAAGGGCTATCAGTTCTTCCTCAAAGCCTCTTATCTTATGGAAAATCGAGCTACTTGAATTTCCCTCTTTCTCACCGTTTTGCAATGCATGATCAACCAGAACTGATCTCAACTTTTGCATCAAAGGGTAGGTTATACTACAGGGGTCATCAATGTAAGCAAAGACATATTCATGATCAACAACTTTAAGCAAGTCCTTCTCACAGAATCTAGAAGGATGTAACTCACCATTGATCCCAGTTGTGAGAACTCTTTTGGCCACTTGACTCACAGCATTCTTAACTGCGTTCTTCATGTTTTCTTCCAAATGTCTCAAGTCAATGGCTTGACACAATGCAACTAAGTAAGTGGAAGACATGAGCTTTAATATTTCTACAGCTTCAGCAGTCTTTCTTGAGGAAACCAAGCCTAAGGAAT